CAATCCAAAAGAGATGGACCTATAAACAACCAACATAGTACTGCAATACTTGAAAGGGTCACTAGGGAAAAGAATTATGTTAAAAAAGAATGACAACTTGTTTCTAAAAGTGTATACTGATGTAAATTATGCAGGGTCAGTCATACATTTAGTACAAGTTATTGTATCTTTGTTGGAGACAACTTAGTCACTTGGAAAAGTAAGAAACAAAATGTGACTGCAAGATTAAATGCAGAATTAAAGTTTTAGGAAATGATCCAAGGGTATGTGAATTGTTATTGATAAAAAAAAAGTTAGAAAATCTTAAAATCAAGTAGGAAAATCTTATGTGCCTACATTGTGACAATAAGTCGATCATAAACATTACTCACAATCCAGTGTACCACGATTGAACCAAACACATCGAGATCGACAGATATTCTATCAAAGAAAAAGTTGATGGCGGACTCATATGTACCCCATACATGCCCACCAATTCTCAAGTGGCAAATGTGTTAACTAAATGTGTAAATAATCTAGTATTTCAAACTCTTATTAGTAAGTTGATGGAAAACATTTATTCCCTAACTTGATGGGAGTGTTAAGAAGAGGGTAAATTAAGTTAAAAGGTACAAAGATAAATTGTAGTATTAGTAATTAATTGTCTATTTCTTTTTCCATCATCGAAAACTTGCATATACAACTGTAATATTCAATAGAATTCACATCAAACCATTTCTAACAATTACCACCACAACAATTGCTCCTCATCCCTCTTGTTTAAAAACCACTTGTTGTCTCTGAAACTAGATATGCAAAAAAAATTATCAAAAAAGTTTCCTGACTACTTTAATTCTATGAGATTGTAGGTTTCTCTCTTAACGAGCTCATATTATTAACAAATCTCATAATAAGACTCGTAAATTAGGACTATAACATCCTTATTGACATCTTGGGAACTCCAAAAGAAAGCTGTGGTGAAGCCACTAACCCAAGCCCCTCACACAACTTTCTTAATTTCTTCCTCCGTGAAAGGTCCTTGTAGCCAATAGGCTCTCCCCTCTTCAATAGGAGACCAATCAAGACCCTCAAGATATGAGCTATTATCAAGCGTATCAACATAAAGATTCTTAAAAGAAAATTGCAATCTCGCGCTCAATAATCCCCTAGTCTCTCTCAATTCTTCCATCCCAATTTCCAACTCCTTGATATAACTCTTCTGCCTTCATCCATTTGTCAACTTGTGGAAGAAGAAATGTAAGATTTAGAGGGGCTATTTTGTTCAGATTATGGGTTATTTGGTTAGAATTATATGATAGGATTTTAGTCTCTCTCAATTCTTCCATCCCAATCTCCAACTCCTTAATAGAACTCTTCTGGCTTCTTCCATTTGTCATCTTGTTGAAGTGGGGATGTTAGGTGTAGAGGGGCTATTTTGTTCAGATTATGGGTTATTTGGTTAGAATTATATTCTAGGATTTTTAGCCAGCATTTTCAGCCACAAATACGATTTGGCACAGAATTTTCTTTTTGTTCCTCTCGTTTAACAAGTGCTCACATTTTTCTTGGATGGGTGCTGTTGTCTACTTTTGGATTGATTTTCCATTTTATCTTAATTAATTTTCTTATCTCATTTTAATTTTATTTCCTAGTTGGAGGATACCTTATCCTCTTGACTTTTGTTTTTAATGGTTCTATAGATTGCTAATAAAATGATGATGAAATTATTACAGCATGCTTATTCAACAATTTAACTCACATATAGTTTTAAGCCTTTGTACAACTTTCCATGAATGATGGACTTGAATGATGGTATTATACTTTGTTCAGATTACAGTTGAAAAAACCATTCTAGAACAAAGCAGTAGCCGCTATGAGCTTCAAGGTGAATATGTTTTGCCTGGATCCCGTGATCGAAATGTTGTTGGAAAGGACACTGGTGGCTTGTTTAAAAGGGCAATGACTGGGCATCTGAGTAGTGTCATATCTTCTATGGGTCGGTGGAGAATGAGACTTGAAGTTCCACAAGCAGAGGTTGCCGAGATGCTCCCACTTGCAAGGCTTCTTTCTCGAAGTACAGATCCTGCTGTTCGTTCTAGATCAAAGGTTGTTTTCCACTGATGTGTAATTTTAATTCGTGAGACACGAACACATCCAAAGCATCAATAGTAGTGCAAAGTTCTAGCTTTTGTTATGTTTCTTGATGGTGATAGCCAAATGTGTTTATGATTATGATACACGCTATTTGCAAATTATACTATTGGTTTTTCTCATTATGCATTGAATCAAGTATAGATATGATCTTTAAGTTTTATGTTTGGATAAACAAATAAGCAGACCATTTTGTTTTATCCTGGCATCTTATATGGATGATATTTGGATTTGACATAAAAGCATGCATGCAGTAGCCTTCATTTTACAGTTCACAAATATCTTATGATATGTCCATTCATACTTCTGTGCAGGATCTTTTCATTCAAAGTTTGCAATCTGTGGGATTATATACTGGAAGTCTCCAGGACTTGCTTGAGGTACTTGATCAAATACAAATAACTTCATTTTTCAGTGGGGAAGTTGCATGTCCTAGCGTTGGATTTCCTAGAACTTAAAAAATGTGATAATTCATACTGTTCCATTATTGTTTGTTTATACCATGAACTGTCCCAAATGCAAATTCGAATTTATCTGTTGCTATAAATCAAATGCCTCTGTGATTTCAGGTGATACAGGGACATTATACTCCATCAAATGAAGTTATTCTTGAAGACTTAAGCCTGCCAGGTTTGGCAGAACTTAAGGGCCAATGGCATGGTTCGCTTGATGCAAGTGGGGGAGGCAATGGGGACACAATGGTATTCATGCTTATACATATTTAATTCTTTATCCGCCTCTCAATTTAACAAGGAATCTTCGACTTTCATATGCATATTAGTGACAGAAAGAAGATTTTGTTTTTAGCATATGTAAGTATATGTATGTAACACCTATACTATTTCAATCTAATGGTTTGAAATTTCTCAGTTGATCATTTCCATGATCATCTTTTTCTCTCAAGAATCTCCTATCATGCAGCATTTATCCTCTTATAGTTGTATTTTTCTTTATCATATGCATCTGTCAGGCAGAATTTGACTTTCATGGAGAGGAATGGGAATGGGGCACCTACAAGACTCAGCGTGTTCTGGCGGTTGGTGCATACAGCAATGACGATGGTTTGCGCCTCGAGAAAATGTTTATCCAAAAAGATAATGCCACAATCCATGCAGATGGGACTTTATTGGGGCCAAAAACAAACCTCCATTTTGCTGTTCTAAACTTTCCTGTTAGCCTGGTTCCTACTCTGGTTCAGGTTATTGAATCTTCAGCTACTGACCACCTTCATTCATTACGCCAATTGTTTGCCCCAATCAAGGGTATTTTGCACATGGAAGGGGATATGAGAGGAAGTCTTGAAAAACCTGAGTGTGATGTTCAAGTAAGGCTTCTAGATGGTGCAATTGGAGGAATTGATCTTGGACGGGCTGAGATTGTGGCTTCCCTTACATCAACCAGTCGTTTCCTTTTCAATGCCAAATTTGAACCAATTATCCAAAATGGTCATGTTCATGTCCAAGGAAGTGTTCCTGTCAATCTTGTCCAGAAAGACATGTCGGAGGAAGAAGATATAAGGGTAGATGGAAATGCTGTAACTAAGGTTCCTGGTTGGGTGAAGGAAAGAGGTGGAGGGTCTGCTGATGAAGCCAGTGAGAAGAAAAATTTTAAAGATAGAAATGAAGAGGGCTGGGATACTCAATTAGCAGAGAGCCTCAAAGGTTTAAACTGGAACATCTTAGATGTAGGAGAAATCAGAGTTGATGCTGATATTAAGGATGGGGGCATGATGTTGTTAACAGCTTTATCCCCTTATGCTGACTGGCTTCAAGGCCATGCTGACATTTTGCTTCAGGTGGGTTAAGAATATACTGTCTTTGCAGCATATTTATTTTGTCCTGAAAGCATACAGTCATTAGTAGTCAAATTCAAAATTTGGGATTGTTCAATATTTTTTAATTCTTATTTCTAATCAACAGGTCAGAGGTACAGTTGAACAACCAGTGCTTGATGGGTCTGCTTCCTTCCACAGAGCATCAATATCCTCCCCAGCACTCCGAAAACCTCTCACAAACTTTGGGGGGACTGTACAAGTAAAATCAAACAGGTTGTGCATCACTTCATTAGAAAGCAGGGTAAGCAGAAAAGGAAAGCTATTTATTAAAGGAAATCTGCCCCTCAGAACAACTGAAACATATGTTGGTGATAAAATCGAGTTGAAATGTGAAGTTCTGGAAGTGCGGGCGAAGAATATTTTAAGGTGCCTTATCTCAATTATAACATTAACTTCTTTATATTTTGGCTTTTTGGCGACATTGTTCCTTACATGCAACCAAGGACGTACTTAGCAGAACACTGAACATTTTATGTTTGCTGAATTTGTTCCAAAAGGCATGCTGTTTATTGAGTTTCAGTCCATTACTCTTGGGAAGAGAGATGAAAAGAGTCTTTACTGTATTTTATAGTTTAATTCATTTTCTTTATTAGTCACTTTTCCCAAAACCTTTCTGGACTCTCAGCTAATAACTCATCCATTAAATCTTAGGGTGCTTTATCAACTTAGAATTTTGATTGTGGGAATTCATTTCTTGCTAATTTCAGTGGCCAGGTTGACACACAGATGCAAATAACTGGTTCAATATTGCAACCAACCATTTCAGGGAATATTAAATTAAGCCATGGAGAAGCATATCTACCGCACGATAAAAGTGGCGGGACTGCCCCTTTTAATAGATTGGCAGCGAATCAATCCAGGGTTCTAGGCACTGGTGTTAATCAAATGGTTGCTTCAAGATATGTTTCACGGTTTTTTGGTACAAAACCTGATGCCTCAACGAGGAAAATCTCCCAGCCCTCAGGTAACATGAGCTATTTGTTCTTAAGTTTTAGTTGTGATGCGGTTGAAAGTTAATGTATCTGGAGATAGGGACATCATTTAAATTTTGAGCTTCTATGTAGATACTTTTGGAATTTTTTTTATTTTTTTTTTGTGAATTATGAGGGATTGAGTCTGGCTTCATGGGTAAGTCAAAGGAATTTGTTAAATGGAAAAGGTAACTGTTCTGTAATGTCTCCACTTTAGGTTTTAATCAAGACTTGTTTTTTTTTTTTTCTCTGCAAAAGGATATCCTTTTCATAGTTCCATTAAATTATCTTTTACATGCTCGTTTACCTGTGTGGAGTCAAAGGTAATACCCGGAATTTAATTTGTAATATTGAAATTAATATATATAATTTAAATTTTATTTTTTTAATTATTATTTAATGTAAAAATGGAGAAAATTAAATAGAAGATGAAATTGAAAATGCTTTTGAAAAAAATGAGTGAAAATTAGGGTTTTGGGGGTATTTTTGAAAGAAAATTTAGAAACTGGGGGTCAAAACGTAATTTAAAAAAATTGTGCCACACAGGATGCCTATTTAGCAACCCCGATGAACCGGAGCGCGCCTGTGGCAAGGGATGCTGGCGCGGTACCACGCGGGAGGCCATGCGGGCGATCCGCGTGCCCGCAATCGGACGGTCCAGATTCGTTCCCGCGCGCACGGATGGTCTGGATCCATTCCCTTCTCAAACGTGATTGGACGGTCAGATTCAAACGCGATGAACAGTTCATATCTATTTTCTATTTAAACGCGATAGGACGACCCAGATCAAATCGCAATGAACCGCTCAGATTCACTCCCTATTTAATTGCGATTGGACGGTTCAGATCAAACATGATGGATGACCTAAATTAAAAAGTGACGGATATAAATAACTCTTTTCACACCAAACCCTAACTCTAGCCGCTAGATACGCCGCCGGAGAAGAAGAGCCAACCGCCAGGAAGGAAGTCGCCTGCCACCCGGCGTCATGCTGGAGCCACTTCCGACCGCCAGAAGAGGTAAAGAAAAATTTTTTTACTCAAAATTCGATTTTAAACACCCCCATGGCCAACTCGTAGCAAAAGGACCAACAAATTAGCCGAAAACTACGAACAAAGTCTGGCAACGCCACCGCGGGAAAATACAAAAAATGCCTCCGATGAGGCTCTTCTCAATTCCCGTTTTGCGTAATTCTTCTACCATTGTAATCACCGTTTCCTTTTCTACAAATTGACCGAAACAAAACACCCAACCGCGAAGGTGAGCCGGTGGAGCCGCTGTACCGGAGAACTCCGCCGCCGGTAAGTTTCGGTTTTTTGATTTTTTTCGGCCAACCGAAGCTCATTAAGGTGTTTTCTCGTAGAGATTGATACACAAAAACAACTAACCCAAGGCAAACCGCCGCCGCGGGCGATAATATCGTCGCCAGAGCGCAGCGGAGCCGCCGTGCAAGAATTCTGAAATTGGCGAAAAAGAGATCCTAATATTGATTTTGGGTTTTTTGGGATATTTCTACATACTTGAAGTGCGTTTTAATTCTCGAAAGAAAATTCAGAGAACCCGAGAACCGCCAGTAGGCATAGTCAAAAGTTTAGCATTTCGGATATCAATTTGAGTAAAAATCCATCACCTTATTCTCTGTTATGGAATTGAAGTTTAATTAATAATAATACGGTATCTTGTGTAATTTAAAAAATATATATAATTAATTACAGGTTACTAATGGACGCAAAATCGGAAGTTATTCACTATTGGCCATGTTGATTGATTTTACAGTTTGAATGTATAATAATACCTGATTGATTAATTTTATAGTTTTGAATGCATGTATTGCTTATCTTATGTGATTACAGTTAAATTAGGAAACTGAGATGCGATTGTATTCCTTTGATGCATGTTTTGTTTGTTTTATGTGATTACAATTGAAATGGGGAAACTAAATATTAAAGGTAAACGAAAAATTGTTTAATTAAGTGAATGGATGAAACGACAGCCTTACTAGATATATTGGGAGATGGTGGACTGATCGGGTACATAGGGAATCCTACCGTGAACATTGTCTCATACCGGATGGGGTATGAGGACGGTCCGTTTCACTCTCATACCGGACGGGGTATGGGGATGGCCGTTAATTGAAAATGTTAAAGGAAAAGGGTTCACGCGTAGTGGGGATATCCCTATGAACCCTCACGGATACCAGCAGTCTGATAAAAGGGAAAATTGTCATTCCAATCGATTGCATATAAAATCATGATATGTATTATGTTATTGTTTTTATAAGTTGTTTTTGTAAATCTCGGTACCATAAATAGACGGTAAATGATTTTATTTATGATAAACAAATTTGATTAATTAAGAGCTCTATTAGTTGTTTTTATGATTTCTACTAACTTTCATTTATGTGTCAGTGAGTAGCTTGATATTTTTACTGAGTTAGTGTAGCTTATTCTTTCATTAACTATTTCATATCAATAGGATCAGGATTTAGAGCCCGATCCACAAGAGAGTTGCGAATAGAACATTCAGTTTGTTTACTTTTAATTTATTTGTTTGGTTAGTTGTTTTTTTAGAAGGGTTATTCCCGTAAGGCATATTTGGTACTTTCAGTTATTGTGTAAAAAATGTAAAACCTAATTATTTATTTTATTTCCCCACTAAATTTAAAATTTTTGGAGTCGTTACAGGTACTTCTTGGACAAAAATGATAGCAATGATTGTGCTTCCAGAGTTCCTCCAGAAATTTCATTTATTAATTTATGAAAATGAAGTGTTCTTTTAGAATTTGTTGTTTTACTAGTAATTTGTTTGGTGCAAGTTTGCACGATCATTCAGTTCCTATTTTTTTGACTGACTAATGCCCGTAAAATATTTTTGTCTAAAACATGTTTTTGACTGACGAAATGGCCTTTATAATGGTACGGTCAGCATTTTGGGGTTCAATCTTAACACAGATCATTCAGTTCTTATGTCTTTTTATCTGAACATGCATTTAAAACAGTTCTGTGTCTATGTTTTTGAAAATTCATAACTAAATTTTTGTTTTACTGAATTTTTATTCATGATGCTTAATTTACAACAGGTAAATATATATAGGAGAACATTAGATAGAATTTTAATAGGAAACTATATGTAAAGCAGTCCCTAAAAAGAAAATAACTTCCAATAGTGGAATTCAACTACAATTATATTCTATAGACAGATTTCTATGAAGATACCACCAATCCGTATAGGAATTGAACTTCTACAAGAAGTCAGATTCCAACATTTCCACTCAAGTTGGTTTAGAGATGTTGAACAAACAAGGTTGGAACTCATTCTTTGAAAGCTTTCCTATGTAATGTCTTGGTGAAAATATCTGTTGTTTGATGGCAAGACTAAATGTGTCATAAGAATAGTACTCTTGACTTTATCTTCCCTTTAGCAAAGTGTCTATCAATCTCTACATGTTTAGTTCGATCATGATGAATTGAGTTTTTGCCATACTTATTGTGCGTTGATTGTCACATAACATTTCCATAGGCTCTAAAGAGATAATTCTTAATTCACTCAGTACCTTTTTATTGTCATATTCCTTCACAGATACAATGTACTAGAGCTCTAAATTCAGTATCAACACTACTTCTTGATACTACAGATTGCTTATTGTTTCTCCAAATAACTAGATTTTCCCAGATGTATGTATAGTATCTAGAATTGGATCTTATATTAGTTATATAACCAGCCCAATCTGCACGAGTATATATTTCAATTTCTTGGTTTTTGGTTTTTTTTTAAAGCAATCATTGTCTAGTTGTAATTTTCAAATATTTAAGAATTCAAAACACTATCGCCATATGGTCTTCAGTTGAGTTATTCGTGAATTGACGTACCATAGTGACAGCAAACTAATATCTGGTCTAATATGTGAAAAATAAATTAATTTACCTACTAAAAGTTGGTATTTTTTTTGTCAACCGGAGCATTGTCAATTTACTTCCCAGATTAATGTTGGGATTCATGAGTGTCTGTGGGTTTGCATTCAAACATTTCAGTCTCTTCTAGAAGATCTAACACATTTTTGTTGAGAAACTGATATTCCTTTCCTTAACCTAATAATTTCCATTTCTAAGAAGTATTTGAGATTCCGTAGGTTTTAAATTTCAAATTCTTTAGTTAAGAACTTTTTTAGTTTGAATGTCTTTTTTGTATCATCCCCCTATAATTATCATATTATTTACATATACGATAAGAATTGTCATTTTTCTCGAATGATCATACTTCACAAAAGATTATGATCTATTTGGCATTCGTTATATTCAAAGTTCTTGATTATCTTAATAAATTTGTCAAACCATATTTTTTGAGATTGTATGAGTTTATAGAGGGACTTTTTGAGTCTGCAGACCTGTATGTCTGTGACTTGACATTTCAAAGGCAAGTGGTCCCTCCGTATAGACTTCTTCCTTCAGTTCTCTTTTAAGAAATGTATTCTTCACATCTAGTTAAAGTAATGGTCAATCTAGATTGGCAGCTAGATGCATAAATATCGTAACTGTCTTAAGTTTCACTACTGGTGCAAATATCTCCTAATAATTGATTCCATATGATTGAGTACCCTTTTACTACTAATTGAGCTTTGAACTTGTTGATGTTACCCTCAATATTATGCTTGATTGTAAGCACGCATTTACAGCTGGTTAGGTGTTTCCCTGGTAGTAATTCTGTTATTTCCTTTGGGTACTCTTAATGCTTCATGTATCATGCTTAGTATTTGTATTTTATCAATATTGCTTACAAATTTCTAATAAGTTGATGACAGACTTTTGTATGAAACAAAATTGTGATTTGGATGCTCAATACATGCTCTTTTTTGTTTTTTTAGAGTAATAGATTTATTTACACATAGATTACCAAGGGAGAGATCTGAATTTAGATTACTTGAAGTATTTAGTGATGTTGGATCTAGATTCAGGTTAGACTCATGACTCTGATTAGGTGGTTGTGGTTCTTTCTCTTCTTAGTTCTTGTTCCTCTAGTATAGATCCGAAGTTCAGGTTTTTTAGTGTGGTGAGTAGGTTCAGGTCCAAGTGTCTCATCTCGATCTATGTGTTTTGGAGACTGAATAAATTTAATTAGAGGAGGAAGAAGATATGGTTGAGTCCCAAAATTGGGATCTTATGTATTCTTCTCCCCCTAAATACCAATTTTATAATATGACTTGTTTTCAAGAAATGTGACATCCATGAAGTTATAGAACTTTTGGGTAACTAGTGAATAACACTAGCACTTATTTCCCTTTTGATTTGATGAGTACCCACGAAAATGCATTTTATTAATTTAGGTTTGGTTTGTTTCTTTGATGGTTACATATGTGAACAAAAGTTGAACAATCAAAGACTTTGATAGATAAGGTAAATAGAAATCGAGTGGTCGGAGAATATTATAGCATAACTTGGTAGGGTATTTGAAACTTAAGAACCCAAGAAGACATTTCATTTATAAGGTAAGTCGCAATTAGAATAGCTTTTATGCAGAAAAATTTTAGGACTTTAGTTGTGAACATGAGGGACCAGAAAACATTTAAGAGATGTTTATTCTTTATTCGGCTATCCCATTTTTGTTGGGGGTATCAACACATAAATTTTAATGAACAATCCCCTCTTTCTTTAAGGTACATCTCCAACTCTTTTCCAAAGTATTATTTTGCATTATATATCTTCAATCACTTATATTTTTGTCTTGAATTGAGTTTGTATCATGTTGTTGAATTTTCTGAATATATGGTCAACTTCTAATTTTTCTTTCATGAGAAGTAACTATGTAATTCTTGTATGATCATCTACAAAGAATATAAATCATCTAATATGGTGATATTATTGATTTTAGATGGTATATACCATAGCAAATAGTTTGGAGACTTTGTACGATAATATGGAATATATAATAAGAGTATATTTTAACAATTGACGTACTTCACAACGAAAGCTTTTTGAATTTTTTTTTTTTCTAAATAAAGAAGAAAATAATTTTTGAAGATATACACAGTTTGGGTGTCCTAATCGATAATATCATAACATAATTGTATTAAGATTATCTAAGTTGGACTGTTTTGAAACTCTACACATGCTGCATTATAGGATCATCTCTTAAAAAATCCATTATGCTTGAAAAGAAAGAGTCTGCAGCACACTTTAGCATTGTTAGTCATCCTCCTCGAATCTAAACTCCTCAAATTCACATAAGTTTGAGGATTAGCAATATAGTTATGATTGGGTAAGTTTGCTTGCTGATAACAAGTTGCAATCTAAATTAGGTTACACCTATTCCAGCCATTCTTGAATGAGATTCATTTGCTATTTATACGGTAAAATTCTCACTACATGAATTATATTCTTAAAATAATGTTTTATTTCCCGTTATGTGGTGGATGCCCTTAAGTCAATGATCCAACTATCTTGATCTCCTGAAATAACATTAAGAGCACTAAATGAATTACCTCTTTGGGTTGTTTTCTCAAATCCTATCTTGTTGTTAATGGAGTTTTGATGTTGGAACACTTTTTATAAGGTTTCTATCTACTCCTTCCCGAATTAGCAAGATTCCATAATCGAGATAGCTTCATCAATTGGGACATGAGTTCTCTTATTTTCTTTGTCTGTAACTGATTTTGTAGTCTTCAAATCAGCTAGTTTTCTATCAATTTTCCAGCAATTTTTTCGAGTATGATTTGATTTTCTACAATGATCACACCAACGGTAAAAATTTCTGATATGGTTCCTTTACTCGAGTAGAATTACTCGATTGCTTCCCGAATTTTGTTTGCGGTCCGGTACAACAAGAAATTCTCACCGATATCATTTGTCATGAAGCTAATTAGCCACAGCATGATCAGATTATTCTTTGCTTTCTAAGTTCAGAACTTTGGATTTCCGGCGCTTGTTTTGGTGACTTATCCAGTGAAAAATCAGTGAAATATTTTTCTCTCCCTCTTCTGCAGATAAACATTTTGACCGATTGAGGCCATTGAATGTATTTATTTCCGTTTAACTTGTGACTGGTAATCGAAATTTGAGCGGCTTTCAATTCAGATTGTTTGATGAAAATAATTTTATCAGATCGAGATATGACTTTAGAGAGGTCATTGGTTCTTACCGTGGTCATTCTGTATTTGATCATCAAGAAAAGAGAGAGAAAAAGAAAAAAGTTTCTTTAGGGTTCGGAAAACAGGACTATGATATTATGAAAATTTTCTATTTATTGAATTTTTATTCATAATACTTAATTTACAGCAATTGAATATATATAAGAGACAATTAAAGAAAGTTTTAGTAAGAAACTGGATACAAATCAGTCCCGCAAAAGGAAAAGAACTTCCAGTTATAAAAGTTGACTATGATTCTGCTTTATAGGAAAATTTCTCTAGACATTCCGATCTGTATAGGAATTGGATTTATACAAAAAGTTGGATTCCTACAGCTTCATCTTTCTTTTGTTCAAGTTAAGAATTTCATTGTTGGTTGTGATGTTCTCAAACTAGAGATGGTTTAATTTGTGATTCAAGTAAATGTTCTGAAATAGCATTAACAGTAACTTTATGCTGTCTTTGTTTATTTTTGTATTTGCAGTTAAATCAGCTGAAGTTGAAAAGGAGATGGAGCAAGTAAACATTAAACCAAATGTAGATATCCGCCTTAACGATTTGAAGCTTGTTTTGGGACCAGAATTGAGGATAGTTTATCCTTTGATTCTTAATTTTGCTGTTAGTGGAGAGCTTGAGCTAAATGGGCTGGCTCATCCCAAATTGCTAAAACCTAAAGGCATTTTAACATTTGAGAATGGTGATGTCAATCTTGTTGCTACTCAGGTGAGTCTTGTGTTTTTATATTTTATACTTTATGGTCAAATCTTTTGGCACTATTGTTTCCTTCCTTTCTGTATTTATATTGACTTTGCATTTAGTGAATACTGCTATGAGCAAATGATCTTTCCAATGACAGTTGAGGCTTAAACGAGAGCATCTGAATATAGCGAAATTTGAGCCTGAGCACGGATTAGATCCAATGTTAGACTTAGCTTTAGTTGGATCAGAGTGGCAGTTCAGGATTCAAAGTCGGGCCAGCAATTGGCAGGACAAACTGGTGGTGACTTCAACACGTTCAGTGGAACAGGATGTCCTCTCACCTACCGAGGTAATAGGATCAGACATCTAATACTCAGATCATGTTTTATCCGGAGATCCTTGTCTAAGATTTGTTAATTTTTAGTTTAAGCCCTTGTGTAGTTTTCTTTTCACTGCTGCGGATTTTGGCTTGTTTGTTGTTTGAAGATGATACAAAAGTTGAGGTGTATGTGTCATGGGTAGTAAAAAAAAATTGCAGGCCTATCATGTTATGAAAGGTGTGGGGGAGGGTAGGAACGAAAAAATGTGTTAACAGTTTTTCTTTTTTAATTCGAGGAGTTAGGGTTTTTATGGTAAGTGAGCCAGAAATTTGATTTTGATAGTAAATGCAAGATCAAATAATCTTATAACAGAACACTTCTTTCTAGCATTTTGACATTTATTTAGTCATGAAAGCTCTGTGAAAGTTGCATGAGGTGCTAGAATCTATTGCATTGGCGTCTATGCCAGTTAGTGTCAATGTTCAAGCTAATGTTTCCTCTCAAGGGGGGCGTCAAGTACTCAAAATTTCTGTCATCCTACACACTCATTAGTATCTTTGTGCTTCTGTCCATGATGACACATGTCATACTATGCCTTAGTTATTAGGGCCATATAGCTGAGCCAAGCTCTTTTTGCGCATGTATACTTATTGATCTTGTTTACAAGCATGGGTAAGTATCACTTGGTATCTTTATAGTATGCAGCATGATATGTGAAAACGACACAGATGATTTCTTCGCTTGAGTTCAGATACAAGTGATGAAATCTAGATAAGAATGTTTATTATATGAACGCCTTTGGGCAAGTCAATATTTACCAGCTTCTCTCATTTGCCCAGGCTGCTAGAGTATTTGAGAGTCAATTAGCAGAATCCATACTGGAAGGTGATGGCCAACTTGCATTCAAGAAACTTGCAACAGCAACACTGGAAACACTGATGCCCAGGATAGAAGGGAAAGGAGAGTTTGGACAAGCTAGGTGGAGGCTAGTTTACGCCCCTCAAATCCCTAGTTTGCTTTCTGTTGATCCTACAGTTGATCCTCTCAAATCTCTGGCTAGTAATATTTCATTTGGTACTGAAGTTGAAGTGCAGCTTGGGAAACGCCTTCAGGTTATCTAACTGCTTCTTTTATCTGGCTTTGAGATTTTCTTTATTGAAATCAGTTTTTGTGAGTAGAGCTTCTTTTAGAAAAAGTTATTATCTGGGGTGGATTGTTGACAGTAAGTTAACAATGTCGATACTTTTTATGTTGCCTTTTTTAAGGATCTTGACTATGATCTCCGACATACCAACAACTGATTCACTTTTTGGGCATTTAATCTTATTATGTAATAAAGGCTCTCAGATAAATGTTAGAATAAAATTAAATATTTCGGGAACATGGCATTTGTGGTATTTAACTAATGCTGAATATGAACACATTTTTTCGTCTGAACATTGCTGGTATTTACCATCATCTGAACTTCTCACCTCAGTTATGTTCTGCATAGGCATCAATTATCCGGCAGATGAAGGATTCGGAGATGGCAATGCAGTGGACGCTGATCTACCAGCTTACAAGCCGCCTGCGAGTGCTGTTGCAGTCTGCCCCTTCTAAAAGGCTCCTCTTTGAATATTCTGCCACTTCTCACGACTGAAAATTGCCTCTGCTTCTTTCCTCTTTAAACTTTGCTGCCTAAGATCATGCATAGAAGCATTCTGCACCAGTTGAGGCATTTATGATC